CTGGGTTTGTTAACACCACTACCTTTCTCTCCACCTCCCCCTCTCACATGCAAGACTAACTATTGGGAGTTGAAAGCCCTGTCTTTCTTACACGGAGTAGCTGGTGGTTTTGAACTACTGACTTTGCATTTAGCAGCTAACGCATCCCTATTCCACCAGTAGAGCTCCTAGAATTAACATGTGACCCCGTAATTCCAATCCTAGCTACTTATACAGAGAAGTGAAAGCAGTAGCACATAACAGTCCACACCTGTGGACTAGTGTTCTTTTCACAACAGTCAAAAGACAGAAACCACCAGAAGGTCAGCAGATGCATGTGGAGAAGCATGATGTGATAGATATTGAAAACCAAATCACTGTCATTGAGTTGATTCTGACTCAACGTGACCCGATAGCACAGAGTAGAACTCCCCTTGTGGGTTTATGGGAGTAGAAAGTCTTATCTTTGTTTTGAGGAGCAGCTGGAATATCATACACCTCTGCATAAAAAAAGTTGTGATGAATGCCACAGCGTGGATGAAGCTTGAAAACATCATGCTGACAAATTCAGGCACAAAAGGAAAAATACTATATCATCTCAGTAAAAATAAGGAAAAAATTAGTACAGATTACGAGAAATGAGAAAGGGGTGGGGTTTTGGGGGTGTCAGGGTGGGAGAGCCAGAATGATGCGTAGGCATTGAATTCATTTAATGATAGTAGTGTGTTTTTAATTAGGAGAGTGATAAGTGACACAATATGAAAATATGTAATCACTATCATTGAGTTGTAAATGTGGAAGTTGTTATGTTGGTTTTGCTATGTATCCACAATAAAAAAAGGAAAATGTTTCCACGAATATTCTTATATATATCACTTTATACATGTGTAAAAAGGTCAAAAATTTTCATTGTTAACCTAATGAGTGTATTTTCAACTCTTATTAAGTTGAACCATATTAAATTACCACTTTTAGTTGGGTATAGATAATTTCATATGGTTTGGTCAAAGATACCAGCATGTATCTCTGAAATGTATCAGCTTATACTCACACCTGTGTGTGTGTATATGTATATATACACACACACACACATTTTCAGTGCTTCATTTTCTTGACTCAGTCGTCTCATTTCTACCCTGTAGTTTTCTAAAAAGCTTAGTTCTGGGCAATTGTCTCACCCCCACCCCCGCCTGCACCCCTCATGAACTGGGTTCCCCCCTACAACCCTCATGAGCTGGGTCATTTTCACTCCAGCCTTTGGCTTAAAATAGTGGGTTTGACTCTGGTCTTTCATTTTGAGTGGTAAAATTTTAGACCTCATTACCAAACAAAAACTCATTGCCACTGAGTCAATTTCAACACATAGCAACCCTATAGGACAAGGTAGAACTATCCTTTTGGGTTTCCAAGACTGAATGTTTACTGGAGTAGACAGCTTCATCTTTTTCCCACAGAGCGACTGATGGGTTCGAACTACTGGCCTTGTTCCTAAGAGCTCAGTGCACAGCCTACCACACCACTTGGGCTCCTAGAACTCATCTGTGGAGTCAAATTGCTACTTCAAGGCTGGAGTCTAGTAGGCTCAGGGCTTTAATCTCATTTATGGCCTTGCTGTTTTTAAGTCTGGTTGGACCTTCGGTTGTTAAGGTGTTTTTTTCTATACTTGGAGTTTAAAAGATGAAGTAAACTTTAAACTACAGTATCTTGACATGAGATACTTTAGTACAACTCCCTAAACTGAGACTATCCAGGCTTAACATAATTCTTTTATTTGATGTATCAGTCAGTATAATAATTTTCATTTTATGTCCTAGTGGATGC